TTATGGGCACTGAATAAGCGGCTACCAGTTGCAAACATTCTTTCAGCATTTGCCATTCCAATCTGCTTTTTACATAAGATACTGTATTGCTGTCATGCTTATTTTCTGTAAAAGCTTTGCATTTTTTCGAAACTCCACCCATTACAGAAAAAGGTAAGTAGCACTATTCCAGTACAGGCAGTTCGTTCGTGTCTCGGTGTGTGTGAGTCTCTGCATTCCCAGAGCCACAGCATCTCTTCAACCCAGTGCTCCCGTGCCTCGTTCAAGTGCTTCACTCGTATCCGTTCATCTAACCAGATATGGTTATGTTATTACTATTGTATTGTTATTATTGCTATAAACTGTCATAACCCAAACTTGAGGTTGTTCACGGCAGCGACGCAAAAAGCCCCGCTTGAGAAACTGATGTAAAGTCGAGGATTCAGCCTACAGTTGACGGAGAGAGGACAAATACGTCAACTCATATTCTATATTCCACTGACCAACTAGCATTTGATCGGTACTTGCAAAAGTCTTGTAAAAGGCCTAAAAGCAGTCACTGCTTCAAGAAAGCCAATTAACGAAATTAGCCACGACTTCTACTACGCTCTGCTAAAAAGCACGCTCACCTGCCTCCATTTCAAATCATAAAGGATAAACATGTTACACAACGGCTGCTTAATCTGTAGTCCGATGCTCTATGTCATCCGTGAAGAACCGCACAGCATTCGGTCTGCGCAGGGCTAGACCCGAAAATCTGAAGAACCATGCGCGAGTCTCCTTCGGTACATTGCCTCAGCTCTTCATGCGTTAGGTGCCAGAATTCGAGGTTTCTAATCAGCGGAAGACCAGAAATACCGTGTCGTTGTGCAGTAAGAAAGAGATCGACATCTGTAATCGACAAGCGTAGCTCACTACCTTCCATTTCTCGTCTACAAGTATTTTATTCAACTCAACTTCAATAGGACTAGCACAGTATTGGTTGAGGTACAGCTATTCAAGCAACCCGTTTTCGAAAATGGTTAGAAAGGCAGACCACATGCACACGATGACAGGACTCATTGAAGTTTCGCGATAGTAGAATAGACCCATTTATCTTACTCCAAGGGCTTAAAAAAGCCTTCGACCCAGAACAGTGACGAAAGTTTTGAACAGCTAATTGTTGCCGTTGCTCAGTTCATGTATGAGGATCCTTCGTGAACTACATTATAAGTCCACAAGTGAAAAAAAAAAACTATAAGCCACTTCTAACCACTCTATAACGTCGTCATCATTGACATGAAGAGAGGAGTTCGGCAAGGCGATCCTATCTCGTCAAAATTGTCCGTCGCCACCTCTGCTAAGGTCATGCGCAAGCTCACGCAAAAATGTGATAACATGTGAGCGAAGGTCAGTTGCTTATACTACGACCTTCGCTTCCCTGATGATTTCGTTCGTATAATTTCAAGTGTGACTAAGGCGGAACTAGTGCTCACTTCAACAGCCCTTGTAGTCATGAGCTGATACTCGGAAAAGACTACCCTTGTAAAGTGGGTTCGCTTCTGGTGGCCCCTATTCACGCTAAACGCGATGAATATATCTGTAACTATACACATTTAGGTCAGAATATGCACGTTGAAAGAAAATTAACCCAGAGTTGAGTATTAAGAAACGACAGGTCTTAGTAGCACTCGAGACATTGTGAATCTATTTATGAGGACAAAAATAACCGGACCATATTCTCAGTAAGGTGAGTAAGAAGTTCCGACCTACGAAACAATCACAGATCTTAGACGCCGAGGTGTCAAAAATCAAGGCTTGAGCAAATCGATGTTGAAAAGGAAGACAATCAATCCAGGTGACACAGCACCAGCCAGAAAATACGAGATTTAACACATAATGACCGAGAGGAATTGATTTCCACTCGTATATATTGCACCATTCAGCTTTAAACAAACACAGTCTATCTCATAGTAGATCTTAGTGATTGAAATAAGAGTTCTATTACAGTGCGATGATAAGACACTGATTTCTAAGGTCATAAGTATTATATTTATCGTCATTTTTCGTAGAGATTTGCACTTTCAGCAGGTGTGAACGGGCATGTTCAAGTAGTTCACTTATAACTAAATACTGTCCATCGCCATGTCCACAGTTCCTTAATTTTTGGTGAGAATTTTCGCAAATATGGATAAAGGATTTCTAGGATAAGAAGTGAGCTTTAAGAGACCTCAGTAGCAATTAGGAATTGGCATTCAAACCTCTCCACTAATCGATAGTTACCTAGTTCAGTTATTTACAAATGCAAGTGGTTGTCCAGTATTTATTACACGCACCCCTAATCCTCTATTTTTCGACTCAACTTTTAAGTATTATTCGTCATTTGATGCGGAATATTAGAATTTTCCACAAATTTACGGTAGAAAGGCGATTCCTGCTAGCAAACGATGGCACTACCAGAGCTGCCAGCGTACCTTTTGATTGACGTCTTCACTAATTGCAGATTTCTTCATTCATTAGTGGTAATGACTGTCAATTTCGATGTTCTTCGCGCAGTTTTATTCAATTTAGTTTTGATAGAGTTATTCGATAAACGTTACCTTATCACTGCCACGACATCGTTCTGTGCCTTCGGGGCGATTTGGTCTGCCTTCGAGGTCTTGTGCGTTTGTGGAGATCGTGATCAATACTGAGCTAACAGAGAAGAATTGTACTTTTAATGACTTTTGGACACGACTGAAAATAGAAATAGACTTATGGGAACTTTCCCATCGTTAAATCTTATTGTGCTTTGTTTCCTTTGGTGTTTCTCACAGGTTCGTCATATCGCTGTTTCTCATGAGTACGGAATATTTCGCCTTTAATAGAAAGTTTAAGTTGGTGCAACATTTTTGAAATCCCAACTTATTAATCGAAGTAAAGTGCACTGTAATCGAAACACTCTTCCCAATGTGAACTCCAAAATGCACATATGTTGCACATAGGCAAAAGTCCGGATCACTCGACCTGATAAAGTGGATCAAAAGCTTCGACGGGCGAGGTTTTCTGTATGTGTATATGTGTATGTATGTAGATATTATTCGAAGTGCTAGCCAAATGATGATAGGTTTGGTATCAGTGGCTGATAAGGTGGAGTTTCTTTTTGAGGTTTTGAACAGCCGATTTTAAGACATGAAGAGAAGCGTTTTTATACAGTATGATTGGTACTTCTCGACTGATACAATGTTGTGGTAGCATATGTATAGTTTTTCTTGCATTTTGACGGTTGTCCTACGGTATGGTACTTCTCTACTGTAATGGACTCATCAGAATTCAAGAATATATCGTGAAAGGCTCATTATCCCAAGCAGAAAAGATATCATCATATTCCTCGTTTCATGAAATTTTGGTTAGCGAAGATGTCTCATTGATCCATCCTTGTTCATCTCTACGTAGCTGATCTCCGACCAATAAATAGATCACTTTCTACGATTGAACCGAATAAAACAGTTTCTAACAGCGATCTCTTTGCTATTCGTTCATTTATACAGCGCAGACTCTATCTTGCGTTTAGAATTTCCACTTGCTTTCAGTTATTATGGAACCGAAGTCTGAAATACGTCCTGAGTGGGATTGATCTGGGGCGCCCAAATCGGCATAGAACCCAGTTAAGCTGCGGCTGTAGTTGAAATCACAATGTTATATCTTTTTATTTTCTGCCTACTATAATTTCGCGGCAGGGTACTAAGCGAAATACAACCACAACGTTGCTGAGATATTTGCAAAACTCTGGACCGCAGGTGTCTATGGTGGGGAACGAACGCGCTATTGTCCTTTCCGGGGAGTTTTGCAAATATCTCAGCAATGTTGTGGTTGTATTACCATTTAGTGTTTGAAAATTCAAAAAAAAGTGCTTAAAATTACACAAGGAGCACCTGTAAATGAAAAATTACACGTAGGAAAGAAAACACGTTTGAGACCTTTACCTAAAGTTGATTATTTTAAGCTTATTAAGCTACTTCCATCTGCACCATTTTTTTTCCCAAATTCTCAAGAGCTTTCACTGTAAACGAGTCTTTACTTACAAAATATAGGACCTTATTTCTAAAGACCACATAGTCGAATCATCACACGGCTGGAATACAGCTTACAGAAGTCGACATGAGTCATATGCGATTCATTTGCTGCAAAATAATTAAGTTTTCCCACTTTAACAAAAGATGTCTCAAAACATTGTTAACGTTTATTTTTTAAACAAAAGCAATAAAGCATGTTCACGCATTTGTCAACGAGGTGGAAGTTTTCTCATTTTAGCAGGATAAAGTTCCAATTTCCTCCGCATTTTTTTCTGGTTTCCAAGGGCTTTGGCCTGGGCTTTAAATTGGAGTAAAATTGAAATAGCATTTTGAGAAAGCTTTTTGCACTTTTAGAGCGATGTCGAAAACCTTATAAATGAATGAATCTGTCGAGATTTCAATTTCTCGACGGCCATGGTTGTCAAAACCAGTGGTGCAGTGTGTAATACACGAGTCCCAGGAAGGGATAATGGTGGCTCGATCCGGCGTCCAAGTTTTGCATTATCTCACCATCGTTGTGGTTCTATCACCAGTTTTTTTTTCTAAAAAAAAGCGGCATAGGTCTTGGTCTTCACGTGTTGAAAAGGGAACTCTGTCCAAAATATCAGTGGAAGGACTTTATTTAATTTACAGTAAGTGTTTATATGAAAGCAGCCTCGCTTCAGCAGACATGTGTAGTTTTCAACTAAGTATCATCCTACTGATCTGTTTGACACAAGTGACGACGGATTATTTATTTAGTACAGAAAAGAAATAATTAATAATAGTTTCTCTTTAAAAGACACTTGTCTTTCATCGTTAAAGGAAACCATCGTTAAATTTTTCATTTTTAAAATACGTTATTAATCTAAGAGGAATCGTTATTTTCTTCGTGAATTTCGTTATGCTGTAAAAAGAGTGACCGTAGTAAATGTCGACCACCCTGCTCGGAATGAATCAAAGTAGATTCCGTACTGTTCCTCTTTTGCTAGAGAAATAATATTTCAGATGCGTCTGCTGTGGTGTATTTTCATCGAAGAACCAGAGACAAGGATCTGCGGTATTCGAATTCCAAACCGTCCTTTGGCGATCGTTTGCGCCGTCATGCAGTTTTCAGTTGCGCTAGCCTCTTTGTTCCAGGTGGGATGTTCTGTTTCCACATCTGAGCACACCTTATTAATTTATTGTTTTCTTAAAATTGGAAACTATTTGAAAATCAGCCTAGTATAATCTTGATTTCACATTGATATCTAGACGGAGTTCCTAATCAACTTTGTCAGAAAGAGCGGGATGTGGCTAACTGTAGCTGTGCCGTTGCAATCATACGTAGATTAGAAGTACGTGGAAGCGAGGCGAGCGCAATCTCGAATCGCCACTAATCGACCTTGTTCGCCTGCTTCCAAATAGCCTTGTCAGTTCTGAAGCAGCTTCGAGAAGACGGAATATCCATCGCAATTATTGAAACTTTTGCTCTTCTCTACTAACGATCATACTGCGAGGTACGGGGCCTTCAGTCATTTTTGTATCTATATTGAGTTCGTTTTATTCCTAAGAATGCCTTCATTTTCATTTATAATTTCCTTTTATGGAGCGTCTTAACGAACGAAACAATGATTGAGCATAGTATCTGAAAACTAAAATATTCTTGTATGAAACAGTACAAAAAATTACCCCACGCGATGACACCAATAAATGAAATGATTCGAGATATGATGTGAGGTAGATGAAAGGTGTAAAAAAAACTTTGCAACTTTTGAACTGAGAATTGGCAGAGGCATGAGGTAGAAGCATTTCAACACACGACACCCGAGATGCATTGTGTGTAACACACGCAAAGGCTGGGCAGCAAAGTGGACGAGATGGATCGCACCCAATTCGTTTGGGTTTCTTTTTCTGTGTGTTTCATTTTGCAACGCAGAAATTTCTATGGCATCTTTTGCATTATACCGAGAGTTTGTTCAACACAGTTGTTATGTCGGGCTTGCTCTGTACCCTGTCATTTTAGGCGTAAAAATATGCTTTCTTCACTCCTTAATTTATAGGTGACCTGTTTTTGGATGAGTTCATTTTGGGGCGAGAATGCATTGCCATTAAGGAAAACATGTAGTGTAGAGACTGTGGCCAAGCGTGGCCACTGGAGTTCGATGCTTCGGGACAGCTTTTCACTGCGAATTATTGGAAAGACTTCTTTCGATAGGCTCAGAGCCCATGCAATAGTGTGACCCCACAAGGTTATCTCTTGTGGTTATTATGCTTTATTATTAAAGCCTTTCACTGACGCTTTAAATATCGTGGTCAACAACATTTATTTTACAGTCTACTATTTAGATTTTATACGTGCATACAATTTACTTACTTTATGTCGAAGCTGTACAAGTTGCAGTTCATACTTGTAATAAACAACTCCCGCATAAACTTGCAATTCTTGTAATTCCTTACATGAAGCGTTCTTCGTAAGAAAAAAAGTTCTGTACCTTGCGTAAACAGTATTGAAAGATTCCAAACAGTACTGTTCCCTCCGAGGCCTGTATATAGCTCTAAGCTTCTTAGCATCTCTTGCAGGGAATTTGTAATAGTGAAGCCTTTTCATTTCCCTGTAACATCAACTTCATCGCTTTTCTCAAAAAAATTGAGAAGTCAACGGTGTTGAAATACAGCAGTGCTGTGGTTCGATGATAACAAGTTCAACTCATGACCAGTAAGTAAAGTGGATCGAAACGGTAACAAAATAGGCAAAGGAGCTCCTTTATATAGAGGAAAGTCGAGGGCATCGACATAAAGGGGTGGAAAGAGCGACACGAAGAATGAAGAAAGCACCGACGAAAACGGACACAATGACAGGAGCCTCATAAGAAAGCGATCACTTCACTGACTGTTTGTGCGCATCTTAAAATTTTCCGCTACAACCATAGAACATTGACTCTGATTTCCCTTCCCAACAGAATAAACGCTCTCTATCTTATTTTATTGTGCTGTTATTGTGTGTTATAACTTCCTTATGGAATTGGAAATGTAAAAAACACCGAATCCTACCAACGGTTTACCGCCTCATTGTGGCTGGAAGGTGTTCCTCGGTGTCGAACAGCGATGTACCGCGGGAGATTCATCCCTGGCAGGGTCTCCCAAGCTGAGAAGGAGTCCGGCGTTTCCATCAGGAAGCCCAACTAAGAGTAAACCAATACCAGGGTCCACCACCGTCCACTGTCCTGGCATGGAACTAGTCGCATGGTGGCAAATCTTCCTCCGATCCATATCCAGGGCTGCGACTGCCTGTGGTGCTGAAGACCTGAGGCAGACTTTGGTCAGGTTCACCTTGGGACTCCAGGGAACCACAATGGGTGAACCAAAGGAACTCTGAAAAATGGAAATTGTGCTGGGCTCCGCACAGCCAGTGAAGGCGGGCCATCCAAGTTTCCAAGTAAGTAAAAAAACATCGAATTGAACACGACTTGTGAAGCTCTTCAAAATAATTACAGAGACGTTGTTTGATGGTGATCTATGGCAAAATATGGCAAATACCGCCTAGAGTGATAAAGCGAAGCGTCTTTCTTAGCATTGTCGTGTTATAAGCCGCTCTAGTCCTCTAACTATCAAAAAATTATCGTCTGTTGTCGAGAAATAAGCACTGATCATTCACAGGTGTATCACCACCGTTTATCTGGCGAACGTCAAAAGAGAAGACCAGTGAACTCGTCCGCGTCTGCGATTTGAACACTGCTTGTTACGACAATAAGCAGTAAATTTTCGACATATTTTCGACATTCATGGGGTTGAGAGCATTAGAAAATCATAGGAGTGGTTTTGCCTTATTCTTTCAGAGGAGATAGAACGTTGCTACTATGTGCTCTTTAATGAAATTCACCTGCCAAATACATTGGTACAATGCTATCAGAACTAGGAAGGACTTTGCTACTTTATATTGAATGTGTTTCCGTTTTCTTGTAACATGCTATTCTATGCACTAAACATGAATATAGTAACAATTGGAAATGAAGAACACCGAATTACCGGTCAAAGAATTGAGCTTTTTATGCCCTACACAAGCGATGGCGACTTTTTTCTGATTATCCGGGATAATTTTTGGTAACTAGAGGAATTACGGAGCTTACAACCTGACGTACATGTAGAAAAGGCTTTGTTCTAGCGCTCAAGGGAAAAACTTTGCTAGCGTCCAATTTCCATTCCAAATTTGGTTAAAGTTAAAATTTTCTTAGAAAGTAATGCCTTTCGTAATGTTCGTTTAGTCAAACAGGGACGCTTGCAGCTTGCTGACAAAAAGGTTCTGGATTGTAGTAACTTTCATTTCCATTCATAAAGTTCATTATAAGCTGAGATTTGCTTGTTGAAATTCGTATAAAATTTTTGATGCTCAAGAACTCCAGATTATGCTGTTGGACCATGATAGCTGACAGCGACTTCAATATCGGGCTTTCGATCGCCTTCTCATCGAAACTGACAATTTAGAAACTGGAGATGTAGAGTGCGTACCCCCTGGATATTTCTATGTTTTTTTTCGACCGGTAATTGGGAGCTGGTCGTGAACGAAATTGAATAGTGGGCAGTTACTGACGCCACACAATCGGAATGGGACAACAGTATTGCAATGGGAAAACGAGAAGGTCCTTGCTACGGTGTCCACCGTTCGAGACGCAACTTTTACCTCCAACTCATAAAAGCTGGAGGTAGAACTCTTCTATGTGAAATTACTTATTGTGGATAAGAATTGTGAATTTTCAGTGAAGATTGTAACTCCTTCCGGCTACGCATGAATGATCTCTGAGTGATCTTCTACGATTTCGACTAAAGCCAAGAATTGCAGAGAATTGTTATTGTTGCTATTGTTACTTGATACTAGGTACTTGAATGGCCCGTCCTCACTGGTGCGAGCTCCAGCATTCACTTTTTTGGGGTTCTGATGGTTTATCCATTGTGTTCCCTTAGAGTTCCGAGGTCATTCTAGCCAAAGTTTGCCCTAGGTCATCACCACCATAGGCAGTCATCGTCCTTGTGGATCGGAGGGAGGCTTGCCACCATGCGACTAGTTTGATACCAGGACGGATCAGATGGATCCTGGTATTGATTTACTCTTGGCTAGGCTTCCTGATGGAAACGCTGGACTCCTTCTCAGCTTGGGAGACCTTGCCATGGAGATGAATACCCCTGCTGTACATCGCACCTCGAAACCCAGAAAAACCACCCAGCCATGATGAGGCGGTAGACCGTTGGAAGGGTCGTTATTAATTATTATTGCTAAATTATACAACATAACACATGTATATCTATGTATCTAATATATGCATGCTGTGCACTGTAAATTGTATGTTGTGAAATAAATGTGAAATAAGGACATGATAAGGGTTGATAGCTTCTGCGGAGTACTAAATGCTTCGAATAGTATTGATGTGCGCATTTCCATCGATTATTGCGCCACTCTGAAGAGGTCTCCTAGATAGTCTTATCGTCATCTTATCTTAGCGTAAATCGTCAACTAAATGTCTAATCCCAGAGTTCAAGCATAGACATTTCTGCGCCTGTTCATCGGTCACCCTGTCTATATTGCTCACCCTCTTCAACAGCAATGGTGTCTCCACGCAGAGTGATCTCGTCCAAAGGAGAATCGCTTTTGTAAATTATTAAGAGTGAAGAACAGCCTTTCGTGAGCCACACCTTATATTGGATTTCCGTCTGACCACTTATTCACAGAATACAGAAACTGCGCTAAAAATCATCTGTAAACCACAGGAGAGGTGTAACACTTCATGGTGTCACAGAGCCATGTACGTGTTATTTGCTGTGTTTTAATCACGGACGAGTTCTACAGTTTGCATAGACGTTGAAATTAGGTGCCGTCTCATATAGCAATCACACGAGTCTGGCCATCGGGCGTTATGCGCCTAGAAATTTTCGTATCCGTTGCTTTTTTAATGAGCAGAAAATTTGAATAGTTCGAATGGGGTGAAAAGCGCTGATGTTTGCGTGGGTGCTTGGTTTTAAAGGAATATGACTCTAATGAGGTAAGTTAATTGAAGATGACATTCCCATCTTGTTCCCACAACTCATAATGACTGAGCCACAATTATTAATAAAAATTGAATATTTGAGCCAACTTCTCATCTGTCAATGTTTTTATGTCATTCTCTTCATTCTTCTCAGTTATTCAATCGAAAGTAATGCTGCTGTAGGTAACCTACTCCTCACTAACAATGCTGCTCTGCAACTTTTCTCTCATTTTCTACTTCCTTGATTAAGTTCGCAATTTCCAAGTGGACCGTTTAAAAACAGAAGACCGAAACAGTGGTTTGTAGAAACGTGCCTTTAACAGATGCTTGGGAAAGTACTGCATAGTTTTCCTTCTTTTTTTTCAGCACGTCTTCTCCATCTATAAGCACCGCCATGTGTTCTTGTGTCGTTCTGGTATCTCGTACAATTCGTCAATTGAAGTGAGTATTCAAAAGGAGTCAAGACCAAAATCCAAGAAACATGGAAAAGTCCTACTGTGGGATATGCTCACACTTAGCTATATAACTATTCGCATATCTACCAATCGGAAATAGATGAATGTATACGCTGCGTAGCCATAAATACACAAAGTTTTTCTATTATATTTTTGGATGGTTCGTATTCAGATATTATAGAAGGGTCCAATCAGTATTTCCATTCGTTGTCCTATAACCGCCATTCAGATCGTCTGGCTCGCATATGAGTTAGAGCTGGACGATCTGTTCCTACTGGCATGTTGAGTTTTACTTGAAAGTTCTTTTCACTAGAATTTACGTTTAACTTTTTATTGGAGTTGTCCTTTTTTGACGGAGAGACATCAAACACTCAACAGAATCGTCAAATGGCCTACATGATAGGCGAAAGGCAGCACAATGGTCGTCCAAAGCAGATGAAAATGACCAAATGAGGGCTAAAGTAGGTGCCAACCTTCGCATAACTACATGGGAAGTAGTCACATCATCGTTGACCAGGATATGGTATCCCGGGAGTTGAAGCAAGTTGGAAACATTTCCATTTCGATTGCCAAAGTCGATTTTGACACTTGCCAGAGTCGACTTAGGATCAAAAATTTACGGTCACTGTTTGGAGGTTTGTTTACGGAATCATCAGTACATCGTTCTGTGATCAAAACAGCGATGAACTTCCACGAACACGCTGAAATCCATCAAAAATTCCATTGCATTTATCCAGCTATAGGTAATAGAAAAGATCCAATCCTTTTGCAGCGCTCAAGAACGCAATAAACAACCATTAAAACCGCTAAAATTCAACAACTGTAGCTTCGAACCTGCTTCATCCAACATACTGTGAAACTTCCCGCCAATCGAATACTAGTTTTTGAAGGATTTCGCCAGTTTTTCTCATTGGGAATTCTTTGGCAACCAGTTCTAGGAATACCTTAGAGAAATTCGTCGCCTTCAAACTTTAAGAATTAGTGTAAACCGAAATAGATGAAATTGCACGCTACTACAATAAGTTGTACTTTGATTTTCAGTGGTCCCTACTTTGATTAATAAGGTTGGGTATGAGCGTACTTATAACAGCTTGAAATTCAAAGTCTAAAACTGCGATTACTTTTGCACCAAAGTATAGTAGTAACGCTTAACCGAGCAATAACGCTCTCAATAACGCCAGCGATGAGAGAGATCGCAGCTGAACTTGCCGATAGAGCGGTGGTTCCCCAAGAACTGCAAAGAACTCTGCACATTAGCAAACACGTTTGATAGTAACTCCACTACTTGTTTTCTCATTATGTCTACGACATTGCTCTTACCAATTCATTCTTTCTTCAGGTTTATTAAACTCATTTCGAGCGTGTGCTTGCTTAAATAGATTTAGTAGTGACTACTTGCTATGGAAAAATGTTTGATAGAAATAAACTGGGTTAAATAAATGTCAAATAATACTTCTTAACAAATACTTAATAGGTTGATTTTTTCCTACTATTTATTTGCTTGTTGAAGGAGATTTATTTGGCTTATGATGTGATCATTTTCGACTTCGGACTGATGCATCGGGTGTTGGGCACGGACGAATGCGTCGCCAATTACCTAGGTAAGTATTTATTTAATGTGTGCGAGGCATCACCACGCATCCGTCATTCGGGGAAGGTCCTCAGAGTTGCATGGAGATTCAGCAGCAACTTGAAGAATTTCGATCTTTTCATGACTGTTGTTGAATTGTTGCAACTCTATCTGGAATTCTGGGAAAGTCATGCTGGGGCGTTCCTAGACCTTCGTCAAGTAGCAGTAGCCAGTCCACATTTAACAAGGATGAGCTCGTATGGGTGCCAGTAACGTTGAAGGAAATGACAAATCAGTGTTTCTCCACGTCCATCGGATAATTCATTTCTCTAGGTGAACATCACCTTTATCACTTGTAGTCCAGTTGGTCGTCGAGTGGATCGACCAGGCGCCAGTAAATCTTCCATTTTTCCTTGTCGCGTACACGAGTAGCCCAGTGGGTTCTGCTCGCTCTAGGGACTCGTTGAACATCAAAAAAATCTGACTATCGGGTTGGTGGTCTTCCTGCAGTGCGTTTGATATCCCGAGCAATCGAATCACTAACGGCTGTTGTCCATCGGTTGCCGTTCATACGAATTACATGTCCGGCCAACCTTATCTACTACGACTGTTCGGCACACGAAACGGTATCCCTAATTTTTGATAGTAGACGCAGGTCTGAGATTCGGGTTTCTTCCCTTATTTGTGTGACACGAGTTGCTCCTACATCGTTCTTCCGACTCAGTATTCAATTACGCTGACGCAGCGACCAGATTTCTGACGCATACGTTAAGGCAGGAAGTACCGTTGAGTCGAAAAGTGGGCACGGAGTCGGATGTTCTTTGTTCTCTTTACTAAATCCTCGATGCTCTTAAAAGCTTCCCAGGCCACTCGTTTCATTCTGCTCAACTCTGGAGTTAAGTTGTTCAACATGTTGATTTCCCGACCAAGATAGACAAAAATGGAGAATTCGGAGATATTCGTTCCGTTGAGCGTGAATAGGGCATACGAAACCTATCCGTTGTTCATAAACATAGTTTTTGTGAGATTTAGTCGAGGACCAATCTCTCCACAGGCTTTATCAAAGTCGGCAAGCATTCGTTCCGTTTGGCTAACGTTTGGTGTTATAACAAAGACATGATAAGCAAACCGAAGATGGTGTAATTGTCGGGCACCGATTTTCACTCTCACCTTGTCCCCTTCCAATATTCGCATGACGCTCTCGAGGACGGCGGTTAATAATTTTGTTGAGATGGTATCGCCTTGCCTAACTCCTCTTTTGACATTGATGTTAATATCATTGAAGAATGATGATATCTTGGTTATGAAATTTTGTATAGCTCACGAAAAATCTTTATGTACTGCGCAGGGACTCCTTGATAGTCGCCGATTTCGTGAAGGTCACCCTTCTTGAACATGAGCACGGTCTTGCTCGTCTTCTATAGAGTAGAGGCATTGCATTCAGAGAGGTAACGTGTGGATGGCCAAGTTCGTATGTTTGCGAGGACTGGCGGAAGGTTCTTCATGTGTTCAGATCTTATCCTGTCTGGACTTGGTGCTGTTCGATTCTTCATCGACGAAATGGTTTGTCGGATGTTGGAAGGGAGAACCGGTGGTACAACATATCCATCCTCCTCTATTTCATTACACGGAAGGTAGACATGGGTATCGACTAGATCTGAGTAGTATTAGTGAATGATTTTCTCCATTACCTTTCTGGACGATGTAACTGTTCCGTCTGGGCGTCGCAGTGCAATCATTTTGGTCTCGTCATTGGCGAAGCTTCGGTGGGCTTTGCGAATGCTTTTCCCAGCCTCTATAGCTTCGTCCATTACTGCTGGTCTTCTCTCTCTGAGATCTTCTTTTATCACCTCTCTGCATTGTTTTGCAAGTTCGGACGTTAGTTCGCGGTTGTCTGCAGCTGGGGCGATTCCACGCTGGCGTATCAGCTCGAGTGTTTCTGGAGACAGACGTCTCTTGGTGGCTTTCGAACTCTGAGCTTTCATAGCGCTAGCCTGAAGATGTTGAATGAGCCGATCGTATTCTTCGTCGATGTTATCGACAACGGCATCTTCCCGACAACCGACTAATGATTTGAATAAATCCGACTTTACGGTGGTTCTGGGACTTCGGTTTTTGAATCTAGCGGCCTATTCTTCTTACCGCGAGAAATAGAATCTTGCAAGAGGAAGCGGTGGTTTGATCCCNTTAGTTCGCGGTTGTCTGCAGCTGGGGCGATTCCACGCTGGCGTATCAGCTCGAGTGTTTCTGGAGACAGACGTCTCTTGGTGGCTTTCGAACTCTGAGCTTTCATAGCGCTAGCCTGAAGATGTTGAATGAGCCGATCGTATTCTTCGTCGATGTTATCGACAACGGCATCTTCCCGACAACCGACTAATGATTTGAATAAATCCGACTTTACGGTGGTTCTGGGACTTCGGTTTTTGAATCTAGCGGCCTATTCTTCTTACCGCGAGAAATAGAATCTTGCAAGAGGAAGCGGTGGTTTGATCCCATGTAGAATTTTGGGACAACAGCGACATCGGTTAGGCAAAACCTTCTATTTACTATGATGTGGTCTATTTCGTTATGGTACTCTCCACGGAGAGACTCCCACGTCCAGCGTTGAGGACAGGGCTTCTAGAATTGCAAGTTGCAATGGAAGGTCTTGGTCGCCATGATAAACTCAGATAGCTGCTCACCCTTTTCGTTCCATTCTAATTCATGGGTCCCAATGTGACGTTCTTCAAACATTCTTCTTGGTCCAATCTTGGCGTTGAAATCTCTAATGATGACCTTGCAGAATGTACGATCTTCTCTGTAGAACACCTCCAAGTCCATATAGAATGCTTCGGCTTCTTCGTCGTCATAGTTTGGTGTCGGCGCGTAAACGACGAAGATTGTTAAAGCCGGTATTGATCCACATCTTTTAATCGTTAATGTCCGATTCGGGTTGTAAGTTGTTCGAATGAATCGATGTTCATGGACAAACTCGTGTTGACGAGAACGCCGATGCCGCCGACTTCTCTACAGTCGCATGTTCCGAGGAACAGTTCCACGCCAGGCAGGTTCCATTGGCCCTGAAATTTTAGCGGCCTCCCCGTATTCGCCCTACCCAACGCTGCGAAATTGGGAGCCCCATCGGGGTCAGGGAAATGAAGCCGGTTTCTTTTACTGTGTTTAGCATTTTAATACCCACGTACCCATAGCTTGCTAGGCTCTAAACGTGGCGGCTGGATGTACTCACGGGTAGCTTGCCAATCTTTCCCAGAGTGGGCATGGAGCTTATTTGTAGGATGCGACTCCTAACCGTCTCTCATATACTTCCCTGTCGTTCTGTACGCCTTCCCTGTCTGTCACTTGATTCCAGGATTTTAACCGAACTGACTCGTAGAATACAATCCGCATAAACGAGAAGGTGGCCACACGCGCATGCATGAATACGCCTCGTAAATACAGAAAGTATGTGTCAAATCGGCGCAGCAGAAACAGGGAGTCCATCCCCTGGATCCACCTGCGTCTCAAGAAAACACGCGGACGCTTTTGGTTCGCGACTAACCCCCTCTCCGCTACCTGGGGACGTGCCACGTAGCCTCGCGACTAACCAGCTCGAGATTTCCTATATGAGCGAGATCCGTGGCTGGTGAACATAAGAAGCAGAGCTGCCACTCAGCCGCTCTATTGACATTACCTGGAATCAGCTGGACTTTGGCCCTTGCTCCGTGACAATTCGTCATGTGCTGATATGATTTATGCTTACTTTTGTGTATCGTATTCATCGCTTTTTAATTCAACAAAACTGGTTTAATGCCATTTATAAGAATAGAGAAAAATGCATCTCAAAACACTCAACTGCTGTGGATTTGGTGGAGCTGGCTTGATGGTTAACACGAATTTGATCATGAACATCGAATCATTTCAGCAATTAGCAACCCATTTGTACGCTTCCAGTTTCCGGAGATCCTTGAGATTCTTCACCACCTACAATTAGCTTTGGTAAAGGTGTCAATAGCGTACTCTATAGCCACTCGGAAGTTCTACAACGAACTCAATACATTCTGTAAGGTTGTCACTGGTGAGTTCAGCACTAAAACTGGTTCCAAAAGAGTGTCTGGAGATTTCCACATTGAAACCCACGGATTATAACTAAATGGACACAGTGTGTGCCTATTGAAACTTGTTGTTATGACCAATATCATTTATGAAAGGCTAGAAAACTGTGAGACCAACTGAAAATAAGGTACAGCATAGAGCCAGGATGGATTGGTCAGCTTTATAGAATGTATCATCAAAAAGCTGATGCTAGGAATACCTTTTACCAAATAGAAGAGAAAAGCCGGAGTTTCGACTAGGTTGAGGATCAAAGATGACGCCTCTACATATGCCGAGATCTGGGAAATCGAGTCGGTTTGGCAGCTGAGACGGTTTCTTGTGGGCTCATACAGAAAGTGAAGTGGTGATGCTAGTGAATACTAATTGGGACCATCTCACAGCTTTTTTGCTCCTCTCAAAAACACAGAGTTTGATGTTTAGATGGTGGTTACATGCGTTTTGGGTGGTGTATCGAGCACACATCAGCACTATCACTTGCCATCTTTTCCATGGTCTGCATGCAAAGACCGCTTTGGTTGCTCTGGCCAGGTAGGAAGAATTCTTTTCTTTTTAAAGAACGCTCGAAATGCCTCATGAAAAAGCAGAGTTTTTCCCGTATTTTATTAACCCGCCTTTATAAATTAAATCTGAACTCGAAAGACCGACTTTCTATGAACCTCGGCATAGATAGTTGATATATTTATTTATGTGATCTTATAAACTGATCTTCTTAAGCTGACGCGAGGTTGGTACAGATCTTCGTTGTCGTTGTCGTTGTCGTTGTTTTTGATGTTATTGATCGATGGCTGACGTTTCGGCGACTTCGCCTTCCTCAGAGTCCTGCAGTCCCGCACGTAACATCACGGCTCTGAGGAAGGCGAAGTCGCCGAAACGTCAGCCATCGATCAATAACATCAAAAACAACGACAACGACAACGACAACGAAGATCTGTACCAACCTCGCGTCAGCTTAAGAAGATCAGTTTATAAGATCACATAAATAAATAAATCTGAACTAATTTAGTTAAATGCATGGTAAAGCAAGTAGTCTTCATTACGAACCCAAGTTCCTTGTCAGAAAAACTGCGTGTCTATGATTAAACAGAAGGTGGTTGACGAAGGTGAATTTAGCGCGAATCAAAATGACTTCTTCCTGTCTTGCGCATTCCGACACTATGAGAATCTTCTCAGCATTCCTCATCTCTTTCTCACTGTGTGTATTCGTCTGGACCCCTAAAATAGGATGGATTTCGAAAATCAGAGCTTGGCTAGACGTTGTGAGGGCCAGTCAGATTTCAGAAGACATCGTTCCAGCGCTCTCTGGGCGGTGCCTATATTTCTTGATGTGGTTGAAATATCAAGTCACATCTTTGCAGCATAAGAGAGCGTTAGCAAAACTACTGAGCAGAAAACGTGAGCACGGAGTTTCGGGTCTGTTAATTGGCCTACGGTTCCTTTGAGAGGCTCGAATGCTGTCCATGGCGTTCTCTTTCAGACCAATTCCTTTTTCATGTCGCTCTTCGTGTTCACTGAACACCCGAGGTACACGTACAAGGTGGTTTTCATAATCAGAGAACCATCCATTTCGATTTACTCATCTTCGCATTAGGGGGTCTTCGTGAACCGGGTCTTCATCTTATTTATGTGCGGTCCAATCCTTTTTTCCGCTTCATTAAGTGAGCACCGTCTCTCTTTCACTGTCGAAAAGATGATGAAGAAACGAAGATTTGACAAGAATTTTCCATCACTACGTATGCCTTTCTCGTCTCAATCGACTTGATTTTCCACTGCAGTTCGGCAGTAAACAGCTTTAGCGATATTGTATCCGCTCTGTCGAACCCCTTTTCCTATGGGTGTGATGGAGAGCAGAGAGAAAAGCAGTGTATTTGTGCTGCAGTTCTGGTACGCCTGCTAGTGTTCACAAATAGGACGGATCCTCTTCTTGGTCGATGAGCGCTCATGTTTCGTAGTCGGTAAAGGTTACGACAAGCGGCAGGCAGTACTCCCTTCACACTTCGATGACCCGTGATACGGTTTAGATGTGGTCCATGGAGCAGAATTCATATCGAAGTCTTCTTTCCTCAAGTGCTTATGTATAATCCAAGGTTTTCGATGTGTGCAAAAGGGTAACCTTTTTGGACAGCTTGCATAGTGCACTACTGTCCGATATTATACCTTTTCTATTTTCTTCTACTATAATTTCGCGGCAGGGTACTAAGCGAAATACAACCACAACGTTGCTGAGATATTTGCAAAACTCTGGACCGCAGGTGTCTATGGTGGGGAACGAACGCGCAAAGATTGATAGAGATAGCTGAGAGACAGGCGAAACAAAGGACCCGCATGGTGTGGTGGTGAACGCGTTACTCCCCGGAGAGGACAATAGCGCGTTCGTTCCTCACCATAGACACCTGCGGTCCAGAGTTTTGCAAATATCTCAGCAACGTTGTGGTTATACTGTCCGATAGTTATGAAGAACCCCTCGGTTAACCTTCTTGGATAGGAAGACCATGGGCGAGGTATTTCACTCACCTGGGATCTTTCTTTCTGAAGGTAAAACGTCATGTGAGTTGCGAGAAGTATAATAGATGTAGATTGTGGTTTCCAACTCGGAAAAATTGAGAGGCCCTAGAACTGTGCCTCTTTTTATGCTTATCGCAACTCGAAATGCAGAGAGAAGAATCCTTGGCGGTTCTTCTGTAGGGAATAATGTGGTGCCAATATTATATTTATATTTGTCTTATGGTCGTCATATGGGGGAATTTAAATTTTTCCAACGAAAGATACCTAGGAAATTTGGCAGGTAACACACCTAGAACTAGTCCTTAGCACAGCACAAAATACCTTTTTTGAACTTTTCGCTAAATTTGTTCACCTTTTAGCTCTACTAATTCAGTCCTCATACTCGCTGGGACTGTCAGTACTGACAATGGCGACATTACCTAAGTTTCTTGAGGCTGTCGGTGGCCGAGTCGACGTTGAATTGACCTTAATGTTGAGCGCCTATAGTTTTGGGTATGATATTTATTACTTTATTTACATTAATATATGCATCAAAATACCTCTAGCGTACTAAAATATTGCCAGTATCTAATCAAGGTGGATTCGCATACAAGCAGAACATCCGAATGGATAGTTCAAAATGCAGACAAACAAACTCTTTAAAGTACCTCCAAAATTGCTATTTACTATGTCGTCAGATTCACGTTCAACTGGATGTTCACGTTCATTCTCTGGCACCATTACTGGCACCTTGAACGACTCGACGCTCCTCCGTCAGCGGCACGGCGTCGGTCGTACAAAGCTCCCGGAGTACTACGTGAGAACAACGTTTGACCTTGGCGAACTTCGTCTATTTCACCTCGATGGCCTGCTAGTGAAGGCCACCAGGAAAAGTTAGTCATGCGGGTAACGTAGCCAATAAATACAAAACCTTACGAAAACATCTTATTCGTATATAACCTCTCTGTGTTATGCCGCTGACAATGAACACAATACACATTTTTCCTGAAACTAATGTTACTGTTTCCTTATAGACAAGTTAATTAGGAGAAGACAGATATAACGTGTAATCTGACAAAACGACAAAAGAAATAGAATCCATCTGTAAATGAAGACGTCGTTTATTCTTTTCAACGAATACATGACATAGAAACCCCTACCATCATCGGCGAGTTTCTACTAGTTTGCAGTTGTCTACCAAAACATGAGTAAATCGAACGATGGTGAAATCCGAGATTTTACTGAAAACGGCGAATTTTAACAGGAAACTCCAGCAAGAAAGTTCTTTGTAGCATTTGTTATAATAGCATTTACAACACATGGAGGATCAGCAAAGAAACAAGGGAAAGGTAGAGATGAATCAATACGAGTGTATGTGTAGTAGTTTCCAACGTGGACATTCAGATCCATTATCATAAATACTGTTGGCTGCTGCGCCATAAATTCTACTGATATTTTACTAGTTAGACAAGGCTTTCTTCCCTTGTGTTATTATAGGGAATCAGCATTGCGAAGACAATCAGTCGCTGGTTTTTGTGAAAAGGAGGAGGATTTTCCACCTTGAGACGATATTGACTTATAGGCAACTGATTCTTCATGGTAGTTAATGTTTTTCATGTGTTAGTGAACGACTTCTGCTTAAGTACATACGGAAGAACCATTGATGGTAAGCCGCAGCTGTTGAAGAGGTGGAAATACTCACTAGTCTGTGCCTTCGAATATCATCACATTGCCAAGGTTGATGGAGTATTGTAGCTTATGCGTTTTTTCTTTTGAAAAATCTCCGGTTCTTTTCTAATGGTGTTTTGACGATACGTACATCTTCTATTTCTCATGCTTGAGGCAGCACTTTTAACACATAGTTTAGCTATACACGACTGTTCTCTGCGTAGTCCTTTCAACACGCTTGTGCAGGGCGTCAAGAATTGCAGTAGTGTTGAGTATCTTCAAGGCGCAAATATACTTCAGATCACTTTAAAATAGTAGCAAATAAATAAATCTATGCTATTAGATCATTTTCTATAAGGGCTCGGTTCACTACCAGGATTTGGAAGGGTTGCTTTAGTTGTGAGAATTAACAGGAGAATTTAGGCCCAAATTTTGCACAAGGCTTCCTAAGCAGATCACTATTAAATGCACCCAAGTATACGTAATGTGAGAAGCACCTTTGTTAAGACTCCTTCAGTGACAGCCGCCATAAAATGTCAATTTTCCGTAAGAAGCGTAAATTGCGTGCAGCAAATACGTATGCTAAATATTTTGATTCTATTAAAAGTTGTAAATTGTGAAGTCCACCTCCCAACGCTTTACCGCCTCATCGTGGCTGGGGGGTGTTCCTGGGTGTTGGACTACGATGTACAGCGGGGGATTCATTCCCTGGCAGGGTCTCTCAAGCTGAGAAGGAGTCGGCGTTTCCATCAGGAAGCCTAGCTAAGAGCAAACCAATACCAGGATCCACCACCGTCTTGGTATCAAAGTCGCATGGTGATAAATGTCCCTCTGATCCACAAGGGCTGCGACTGCCTGTGGTGGTGAAGACATAGGGCAGACTTTGGCCAGGTTGTCCTCGGGATTTCAGGGAACCACAATGGCTTAACCAGCAAATCTCCGAAAAATGGGTATTATACTGGGGCCCGCACAACCAGTGGAAACGGGCCATTCAAGTATTCAAGTAAATTGTGAAGTAACTGTTTTCAAGCACAACTTTTTTCTCGCCTATCTAAGAAACTGTGATAACATTAAGTCCCAACCTATAATGCTTATAAAGCCACCCTGAGTGAAAACACACTCATGGGCATTGTCTCTGTGAATACAGTTTTTCTGTTTTACAAACACTCATTGGTTCGAACAAATGCCCCACTCTCAGCAAGCCTTCCTTCTTCTCTTCGCGGTCGGAAAACCGAGACCACACTTGTTTGGGAGGATAGCAACACTGACTCGGGCCATGGCAAGTCATTGCATTGGCCGGGAATGCAACCTCTAATGATGCTTCATGAAGTCGAATACATGGTGCATCGCTGAGAGATTGGTCAATACAAGGAGCTTGATCCGTTATTCTTTGTGTCTATTAGGATTTCCCCTCAACATGGCGATAAAGTGCCGATGCTTTTAGAATCTTAGTGTACAAATCTCCGGAGAACGGTTTTTTGGAAAGTACTATGTATTGAAAACATCATTCCATGGCCTGCCCTCTGGTGCATAACCTGCGGTGGAGAAGCAGAGTGAACGAATGATGTGCGCTACACATAATGTGTTTCTCCTTCAGTTATTTATGTTGGTACACTGAGATCTTTTAACCCATTTTTTTTTATTCAGCCGTAGCTCACCCAGTAGAAATGCTATGCCAGGTGTGGCCCAGCAGAAACTGTTCTTAACACTTAATAATAAGGTATAAAAGACATTTTTTCGGAAAAGTTAGTTCTGCGGCATGAAAGAACGTCGAACTTAGAAACTGTTGTCAGTGGAAAGGGCTCTGAAATTCCTCTATTTTAATGACGAACTTGACCATTTTGGCACATTTCGCTGTGATAAGATGTTTGATCATTTAGAAGACTTCTTCATTGGATCGGTACTCAAATCAGAGTGTGCGTCAATGTGTCTACGTGCCTCAACATTGCCTTCAGTCACCAATTTTTTTCTACCACAGCCTTTTAATAGTGTTTTAGACCATAGAAGCTCACTTTACAACCAAAACAATTTATATGCACACACAATTTGAACCAACTAGCAATATTACTAACCATCCTAGATCAAAGAACCATGAATTCATCCCGTCAACATTTGTCGTTTCCAGTAGCATATCTTTCTGTACCCCGTGTCTGCTCGTTGTTAACAATCACCTCTAAAATGCTAACTGCGAATAATTCGTAAAAATCCGCCAGTTCTCTGCTCCGCTCTTTTTTCCTCCCACAGGAAGTTTGATACCGCTTTGCCGACTCCAAAGGGATAGAGTACTTGATGGCTGCGGGCGTCGGATCGAACCTATAACCGATCTCATTTGTATGACAGAGTGCTTTTTACCACTGCTTTACACATCTCCCATAGAAAAAGATATATTTGCTGAAAATTCTATGATAGCGACCTAATATCTCCATGGTAAAAGTACACAGGATATGATCAGGACCAAAGTAAAGGTTGTCTTCATAAATACCAAATTAACAGTTGTGTCCATAAGTATGACATGTTTAGGCCATGCTACAAAGATTGTATTGCAGTATGACTACCTTTGTGTGCCAGTTTTGACCTATGGATCATCCGTACCAACTTTAGCGTACCAGAAATCCAAAAGGCGGTGGTCCAGTTAGACCTCTAGGAGAATGCGCATCTTCACATTCGGGCGGAGTTATGATTCAACATCACAGTCAAGTTATTGTTCTTTAGAAGAGTTTTATTATAAGGATTAGGTCACCACCATTCTGAATCATTGCCATGGCTTCACTTATTTACATAATTGCGTTATGGTCGAAACGATAGGCGATCAACTCACTCCTATTACATAAAAGATCGAATTTCGTTAACCACTAAAATTCAAATCTTGGAAAGGCTCCTCAAAACCCTGTTTAAATTGAGTTCTTTTTCTCTTTAGATATAGTTTCGATATCTGGAAGCTTGAAGGAAATCTTTAAGAGGAGCAATCAGTCCGTAGTTCCTTTATAAAATTAGCATTGATTTCTCATCTTGCGAAACGTGCACGCCTGCGTTATCGTCGTACAGCAATCGTTCCAGTCAACCGGAAAAAATAAAGTGTGCTCATCCCAGTAGACATAGCAAATATCCAGTTATGTTATGAACCATATGACTACCAGTTCAAACTTCTCGACATCACCTTCCATACTCTCAAAACTACCTCCCGACCGTTTACCGCGTCGTCGCGACTGGGAGGTGCTCCTGGGTGCCGGGCTGCACATCAGGAGATTAACCCGAGCAGAATCTCCCAAGCTGTCGGCACTTCCATCAGGATGCCCAGCTAAAAGTAAAGCAATACCAGGATCCACCACCATCCTGGTGGCAAACTGGTCCCACGGTGGCAAATCTCCCTCCGATCCACAAGGGCCTCAAATGCCTGTGGTGGTGACGACCTGGGGCAGACTTTGGTAGCCTCATCTCGGGACTCCAAGGAAACACAATAGCTAGACCAGGAAAACTCCAAAAAGTGGAGAATGTGCTGGAGTCCGCACAACCATTGAGGATAAACCGTCCAAATATTCAACTATTCTCAAAAACCGTTAAATACATATCCACACCGGAAAAATTCATCTTATTTTCTAGCTCGTTCCTTACCGTAGAATCACTAGTGTTCAACTATAAACATCTGGAGCTAACTTCTGCACCCTTCATGTGGCTACTGCCATACCATTTCCATAAAGCCCTTTTATATTCATCGCCACATCTATCTCTACATACATTGTTTGAGTTCATGATTCATAGCCGTCCAGTGTGACATGATGATGACATTAGAAAATGGACAAGGGTTTTAATTCGTTACCGATATGTTCAAAAAAAATTTAAGGCAAAGTTAGATGGAGGTTTAAAAATCACCCATCCTGCTTTGAACGTAGAAGACATGAAGAACACCGTCTCAACGTCTTCAACATAAAAATGACGAAAACCTTCACTAGAGGAGACTGAGTTCTCGTCGGATTCGATAATGAGACTACAAGATCGAATTTATCAAGACTATTCGCCTCTTGCATCACACTGGGGTGCGTGTAGTGCAGTGGACCGAGGCGCCTTGCAAAACACATAGGATCGATCTCCTTGACCCAGGTTTACCAAACGTTCGCTCCCTCCGAGATCGGCAAATTGGTACCGGAAAGATAGCAGACTGGCTTCAT